CTGTTAACCTGGGGTCCATAGACTCTCCATCTAAGGGTCCATGGATAGATTTGGGGAAAGGGAGTATCAGTGAATTTGGATGGACAAAATTTCCATCTTTATTTCAATATAATTGGCTTTCTTTGTAATACTATATATTTTATTTTATGCATTTAAAAAACATCATTCTGCAAAAGGGTTCATAGGTTTCGCCAGATGGACTGCCAAAGGGGTTCATGCCAAAGGTTTGAGAACTCCTCTGCACTAGAACCAGAGGAGCTGGGTTCAAGCTCCTTGAGAATAGGGACTTTCTTCTGCTCCTTTTGGACTCCCAGCACTTAGCCCCAGTGCCTGGCACATAGTAGGAGCTTTATACATGTTTACGGATTGATTACTGGAATGGCTATGGGCCAGTCATCTCACCTCCTGGTGCCTCAGTTTCCTCCTTTGTCAAATGAGGTGGTCAGATTGGATGTCCTCTGAGTTTCCTTCCAGTTCTAGATCTAGGATTTTTTATTCTACCTGTGAGGCAGATGACAAGACTCCACGTGACAGACGATGAAAGTGAAACCCAGAGGATCAGTCTTTCCTTTTCCTTTAAACAACTCCCATGCAGCAAAACTATACTTTCAAAATAAATGAAAATAGAGAAGGTAGCTATTGATACCACCAAAAGGGCTGACCAGTGATCAGCCAAGAAAATATAATCTTAAGGTCATTCCAAATCTATCACAAGAATGTAAATTCCTTGCAAATAAAGATTTTGATCATTTTGATCATTTGATCTCTGTGCTTAGAGTACAGTACACATTCAACAAATGTTTGCAATTTAACTGAATTCATTGAACTGAATCAAATCTCTCCACTCCTCAGATCTGTCCTAGATTGCCAGGCTAGTGAGTACCAGGGTTGGTTCTGGAAGCTAATTTTTCTCACTGTTTGGGTGGTGTTCTTCCCAGGACCCCAAACTTCTCCCTGGGCTGAGCTAACACCTCACTCCAAGAAGGCCAAAACCTGTTGATCTGGTTGGGTCATGGGGAGGGAAAAAGGCCCTGATACCTTAAGCTCTGTGTGATACAGGAATGACATTTAAAGAAGACCAAAACAAACAAGTGAGAAACAGGAAAAGATGAGTGCCCAGGGGGAAAAAACCAAGAATAACAATTCAAGAGAAAAACATAAGAAACTGAAGAATTAGGGAATGTTATGAAAGGTATGTTGAGTCATCAAAATCAATTATTCAATCAGTAAGTATTTACTAAGCACCTACTATGGGCCAGTCACTCTAAGCACCAGGGATGCAAAAGACAAAGGAGCTAAATCTTATTGGGGGAAATAACATGTATGTGTGTATATTTTTGTACATTTATATATTTTGTATATAATATATTTTACATATTTAATAAAACAATATATGGTAATAAAGTATATGTTTACATATTTTATATTTAAATATGTATATTTATATGTTATATATAGATACCAATTATATGTATGTTTACATATTTTATATTTAAATATGTATATTTATATATTATATATAGACACAAACATGTGTATAAAGGGTTCCTTAATTCTTGGGGCAGTATTGTATGTGTATATATAAGTACAGAAAGTTAATATATCACTACAAAAAATCTGTTTGAGAAGAAGGCACCAGCATCCAGGAGATTCAAAGCGGGCTTCTTAGAAGATACCAAACTAAGCTTTGAAGAAAATTAGGGATTCTAAGAGGTAGAGGTGGGGAGATAGGGCACTGCTAGTATGAAAGGTAATCTCTACAAAGGTATAGAGATAGGGAGGTTAAGTGTGATATGTAAGGAAGAGCATGCCAAATACAGCTAGAAAGGTAGGTGGGACCCAGGCTTTCAATGTCAAACAGAGGAGTTCATATTTGATTTCAGGGCCAGGCACTGGAAGTCACTGGAATTTATCAAGCATGGACGACTAACATAGTCAGACTGGTACATTTAAGAGCACTTTGACATCAGTATGAAGAATGGATTCCAGGGGGGGAAAGACTTCATAGAATCAGAGATTTAGCCATGGAACAGTCCTTAGAGGCCATCTTATCCAACTCCCTTATTTTACAGAAGAGGAATATGAGGGCTAGACAGGTCACACACAGGTAGTAAGTAACAGCACTTACACTTCTAACTCCAACACCAGCGTTCTTTCCACTGTACCATGATCTCTGCAGTGGAGATATCCACAGTAATCTCCATAGAGACCACTTAGGAGGCTATTACAATATACCAATTGGTAGGTGATCAGGGCCAGAGTCAGGCTAGAGTCTGTGAGTATAGAGAAAGGGAAAGGTGTGAGAGCTATTGTAAAAGTAGAAAGAATCCAGCTTGGCAAATGATTAAAGAAGAGAAATTAAAAGGCTGTAGGAAGCAGGACACACACATGATGAAGATAAAATATGTGCTTGGGAAGCTAATGTTAGGTCTCAAAAGGAGGGGGTATATTATGAAGAATAAGCAAGAGACTTTGTGACCTGGGGTAGCTCAAGGCCCCTCTAGGCCCCTGGCACCTCCTCCTTAGCTTGAAGAGATAACACTAGATGATTTCAAAGGTCCTTTCTAGCCTTGAAATTTTGTGGTTCAAAGGGAGAACCAACAAGGGGGAACAATAAAAATAAAAAGAGAAATGAAGGCATAAACCACAAAGAAACCTTCCAGAACATACACTCCTGATACCCTAAATCCCTCAGTCCCTCATCTCTCCTTTTGGGTAACAGAGCTCCCCTGCAGCCAAACCATGGGATCTTTAAAATTAAAGGAAGCAATGAGGTAGATATTGACCGCTTAGTAAAGGGAAAGAAAGGAAGATATCCCAGGGGAAGCTAGAATTGCCTAAATAACTCCTCGGCCATCTTTCCAACTACTCCAGCAGGATGTATTGCAACCAAGGTCCAGGAACAAGACCTTTTTTCATTTCCCATGAAGCTTGAAGATTGGAGAAAGGGGAAGTGGGAAGATTAACATCCCTGAAATTGTTTAGAAGAAGAAAAAACACCAAGAAAGGAGATGACATAGCAATAAGCATGAAAAGAGGCAGATGAAGGGGTACTAGCTAAGGTAAAAGAGGAAAACTGAGGCTAGAGTGGAGGAATAGAAGGAATAGGAGAGAATAAGAAAGGAGGAGAAAGGGATGACAGAGGCAGGAAGAAGGGGCACATGAGTGCTGGACCTGGGAAGATGGAAATATAGGGGAGAGTCTTTCCAAAGTAGGGACCTCCACCGTTTTAGCCTCTTGAATTGAATTCACACAGTCAGGATCACTGTCTCAGTGTTGGAAGGTAAATCAATAGCCTTCTGGTCTAATCTCTCCCTGCCTCACAGTATCTTCCACCCACAACATCCCTAATTGGTGGTTATCCAGCCCTCACTGGGCAGTGTAGAAAGAGGGATAATTCCCAGGCAGTTGATTCTGCTTTTAATTCAATAACTAATCAAAGCATCTAATATGTAAAGCCCTGTGAGAAATGAAATGGTCCTTGTTCTCAAGGTATTTGCCTCCTACTGGGAGGAAACAAAGTACACTCTACAGACACAGGCATTAGAATGTAGGTTTCCAAGATAAGAGATTCTCTTTCAGCAGCCTTTAAATCCTCAGTCTGACGTTAAAGGTTCTCATATGTTAGATCCAACCAACCTTTCCATACACAGTCCTCCCCCTTCTCATTTCCCATTGCAATCAAACTGGTATACTGGCTATTCTCTGCACAGGACAGCTCATTTCTTGCCTCTATGTTTTTGCATAAGCTGTGCCTGGAATTCATTGCCTCTTCACCTCCAACCCTTAGTATTCCTAGCTCTAAAATCCACTTCCTCTCTCACCTCCAACTCTTAGCAGCCTTAGCGTCCATTAAAGCTGCTGAATCCCTAAATCCTAATGGAAGACTTTACCTAAGCCCCTGGGCATTGGTGCCTCTTGAAATTACTTTGTATCCCTTTTATAATGCTCTGTAATGCTTTTGTATATTCTTTGTTTTTCCTGGTGTGTCTGTTTATCGCAACCCGGGGGAATATAAACGCTCCAGAGTAGAGACTTTTGCTTTTGCAACCCTAGAACATAACCCAGCGGCTTGGACCTGTTTCAAAGACGTTTGGTGAAATTAAAATAGTCTTTTCCCCACTTAGCCCCATCCAGACCAAGGGGAAATGCAACTAGGGAGTAAGCGTTAGCCCTCCAGTGAGATCCATCTCTGCTGAAGAACGTGTCAGGGCTGGCCGCCAGACTTGACCTTCAACCCCCGCCCCCCGCTGCCCCCTCCCGCTTCTCTGGTGCAAATGTCAGGCATCCCCTAGGCTGGCTGGGGACTGCTTCAGTAAACATGTGTCAAGAGTGGCGGACCACGGCACCAGCTGCTCTGATCAGCTCTTATATAATATGCTTTGTCTTCCGAAGGGAGGGCGTGGGGGAGGTGAAGGTGGGGAGGGTATTACGATGCGGGGAACGGCTTTGTGCAAAAGTGTGTTGTGGTTTTATTATGATTTCTTCCCCCCTCCCTCCAGGAAACACAGCCCGAGCTAGCGAGGTAAGAGCAGCCAGCGATGATACACCCAGTTCAAAGCCCGGGGGTCCCCACGCCCCTGTCCCCCGGGGAGTCCCGCTCTGGGTTCATCCTAGCTTCAAGCTTGGACCGCGGGCCGGCTCAGAACAGTCCCCCTCCCGCGCCCCCCGCCAGCCCGGCCTGGCGTCCCGGAACAGCCCATGGCCGCCCGGAAAGGGGCGCGCGTGGGCAGAAGGAGCATCCAGTGCAGGGGCGTCCGGCCGCACGAGCCCAGCGGGGAGCAGGGAGCATGGAGCTAGGCGCGGGGCGCGGGGCGCGGGCAGCCCCAGCGGAGCAGGAGCCCGGATCACCACCAGCAGCAGCAGCAACAGCAGAGCCAGCCGTGCCAGCCTCGCCGGCCGCGTCTGCTCCGCTCGCCGCTCGCCGCTCGCCGCCCCCCGGCGCGCGCCCAGCCCGGGCTTCTGCAAAACTTTGAAAATACGGAGAGAACTCCCATTACCTTGGCAGGAGCGGGCTTGTCTGCGGTACGGCTGCTGAGCTCTGCATGGGGTTTTCAGCAGCCGTAAAGCGGAGAGGGGGAGAGGGGGAGAGAGGGAGTGATGGAGAGAGGGAGAGAGTGAGTGAGGAGCGAGCCCTCTCCCCTGAACTGCCGGCTGGCCTCTTAGCAGAGTGAGAGAGAGAGCGAGCTCATCAGGCCGCCTGCCTGGGGAGAGGTAGTTCAGCTGAGTCAAAACTAGAGGCATCTTAGCCGGAGGCGGGAGTTGGGGGGGGGGGGGCGGCCCCGGGGGGGGGGGGGGGGGGGGCGGGGCTTCGGCAGGGAGGGGGGGGGGGGGGGGGCGGGGGGCGGGGGGAGGGGGATGGGGGCGAGCTTTCAAGAAGTCACACGCGCAAAGTGCCCAAAGCCCCAGTGGGCTGACCTCGGCCAAGGCCCCAGGCACGCTTACGGGTGGATAGCAGCATTAGAAAAGAGTCCTCCTAGGCAAAGGGACGTGGCTCTTTTTCTTTACAACAGTGGGCACTCAAAGGCCCCAAATGAAATCAGAAGTGGGGAGGGCCCCCATTCCAGTGAATGAGAAGGGGCTCCTCCATCTGCCAGAAGGACAGTCTTCCTGGAGCTACAACTTGAGGGGCTGAGTCATCAAACTCAAAACAAAAATGAGTGGGCTGGATTCCTGGAAGGGATGCCAGATGGCTAAATTCTGGTGCCTTGGAATGGTGGAGTGATGTTCCTTTCTCCACTCACTCAGTTTTAGAGAAAAGCGGCCCTAACATAGACGTGCGCAGTCTACAGCAATATCTGAGCCAAAGTGGTTACTTAATATCTGAGCTCCCACCCACTCCTGGGAGCTTAGGATTTAAGATTCCAAGAGAGATCAACATTTCTCTCCTGTTTCTTTCCTTTCCGTGTTTTGTTTTGTTTCTCTATTCATTCTGGTGCCTTCTGTTTCTGTTTATCATTATTATCAGAAACCCATCCACGAAAAGGGTGGCTTTAGTTCATTCGAAAACTTTTTGGCAGAGATGAACTTCCAGTTGAAAATTTGAATGAGAAAGAAGGTAAACTGAGGCAGAAGTTGTTTAAAACAAACAAATAAATAAAAGGGAAAATAAGAGGGAAAATAAGCTGTTATAGCGTTCTTCTTGGCCATGGGGAAAAAAAAATCGTTCTAGCCCGCCCATTCCACCAGGAAGTCTTCACATGCTTGGGGTAGACATCCTTCTAACTCAATGATAAAAAGGATTTAGATTCAGTCAAAAAACCTCACTTGAGGACCTAGAGGATCACATGTGGCTTTGAGGCTGCAGGTTCCCCACCCCAGGGAAGCCTATAGGCTATTAGCACCAATAAAAAAACACCCTTATCCCCTTCGCCCTTACTTGCATCTACTGTGCCTTTACCCTACAGAGTCCAGGGGTTAAAATGAATGCACTTATTAATATACTAATGAATTAATCAAATAAATATTAACATGTAAATCTCGAACCCTAAGAATCTGGCTTATTTGCAATTGTCTAATCAAGTGAAAGCAATAGAAATTTCACCTGCAATGTAGATATTGTTTGGCCTGCCCTAGCAGCTGCTACCCTGCCAAGGAAAAGGACAAAGAAGCAAAAAAAGATGACTGCAGGAAGTTGGATGATGCCATAGGCTCTGGTCTTTTTAACTGAATCCTTTTTTGTTTGCAGAATAAAATGCAGAGCAAGAAAGAAAGGAAGAAGGAAAGAAAGAGGAAGAAAGATATTGAAAGAGTTTAAATCCTCTGAAGGCAGGTACTATTATTGCTTTCACTTTTTATATCCATTATTTTGCGTAGTGCCTGACACAGAATAAGTGCTTTATCAACACATATTGCTGGATTGATTCTGTTACCTTAGGTCTAACCTTTACCTTTTTTCAGCAAATTTCTCATTTGTAAAAAAAAAAAAAAAAAAAAGGTAGCAATTTGGACTATAGGACATTTAGTGTGCTTTTCTGTCTCTCAATTCAATGTAATGGTATTTATTGAGCACCTACTATAAGCCAGTCACCTTGGCATAAAAACACAAAAAAGAAAAATGGCTCCTGCACCCAAGAAGTTCACATTTTAATGGGGAGGGGGGGTAAACAATATATGAGAGATGGTGGGGGTAGGGGGAGAGAAAGAGAGAAGTGATAAAAGTTAAAGTTAGGGCAGAGATTGTAAGTGGGGAGAAGGGGACAGAGGAAAGAGAGTATACAGAACAGGCATTGTTTGGAAACTGTTGAGATATGGGAAAAAAATAAGAATGGAGAATTGAGGGTGAATTCCTAGGTTGCAAACTTGAGTGAGTATAAGAATGGTGGAAATATGGAAGAATGGTGGAAATATGGAAGAATGGTAGAAATATGGAATATAGGAGAAGGGGCAAGTTTGAGGGAAATATGAGATCCGTCTTGGACATGTTGAGTTTGAGATGTCTGATGGAAGACCTAGGTGAAAATGTCCAACAAGCCATTGGTGAAATGGGACTGGAGTTTTACATCTATGAGCCATTTAATTCAGGCATTATTCTAAGTTTTCCTTCTAATTTCTCTCAAATTCTCTGTGGAATTTTCCAGTGTATCTCCATGAGCAGTGAAATACAACTGTGATGTAATCCCTTATGTGGAAGAGAATAGAAGACTGATTTCAGAAAGGCATAATAATGGAAGTTCTATGGCCTCTAATTTGAAACATATCCAGCTGTTCTGTAGCCGGTTCCAATGTCAGCCATACGGTGAGGAGACAAACTGTTGAATAACTACAGAGCCAGAGCTCTGGACCATTTAAAGACCATTAAAGTCCATTCAAATGAGGAGTGAAGGACTAAGACCAGTGGGAAGAGAGACCTCGGATCCTTTTCTGCCCACTGTGGGCTCCACAATATGGTTTCTGAGTGCATGACCCTGCTGTTGTTTCTGTCTCTGTTGTGTCTATTTGTGCTTTTAGGTGAATTGGAAATGGCCAGGACCTTGGGATAAAGGTCAGGAGAACCAGCCACCAGATGTCCAGAATCCAGAGTCCATGCTGAGATTTGCCAGAAGCAACAAGCTAAAAAATGAAATCAGTTCCCAGTGACTTGCCTGGTCCACTCCTAAAGTAGCAAGGATGCAACATTCCTTACATATTTGGAAGTGAATTCAGAAGGGATAAATGCCATGCAGAAATTTTGTTGTCTGAGCCCACTCTTCCCAGGGACCAAGGCCATTTAAGAGAAAGCAGTTCTACCCCAAATGTTGGGGGGAAATGTTTATTTATCTGTTTTCCTTGTCTTTAAAGTAAATGTTCCTTTTGTAAAAACCAGCGGATGTTAATTGGAATGGGGAACATACCCTATTATGGCAGCCTAACCCAATAATATTAAAGTAGATATATTCTCCACCCTTCTAAGGAACCCCTAGGATCCTAAGGAAGAGACAGAGCCCAACCCAAAAATATTAAAGAAGACATATTACGCCTCTAAGGAACCCCTAGGATCCTAAGGGGGAGACTCTAGAAGAGTGAATTCAGGACATCACTACATAACCAAGAGTTAATCTTCCATCCTTGTTTCCAAGCAAAGTCAAGTGGACATAGTTCAGATCCTGAGGTGAAGCAGACAGATAGAACCTACTAATGTGGAAGACCCTTAACTTAAAATAGCTAAAGAGAAGGATGAGATCACATAAGGATGAGAAGGACAAAAGAATGATAAGACATAAGACTACTCCAAGAAACCAAGCCTTTTGCTGTAGATGCTTTAACCCTCGGATCAAACCAAGAGCAATAAAGCTCCTGAGTTATGGATAAGGGGAAAACTTGGTCAAGTCAGAATTATTTTTGTCTAATGGGTACAGCCTCATGCCATTTGATCTGGTATTGTCCTTAAAATAGACTTTTGAGGTCAACTGGCTTTCCATTGAAACACTTTTCCATTGAATCTCTAGAGGGCAATGTCTATACCCAAATTATCATTCAAATCAATTCAATAAAGTGTCCATTTGGAAGAAAACACGTATACAGATAAGCAAATACAAAATACAAAGCAAAGTGACAAATGGAAGAATCAGAAAAGCAGGTAGGTTCTTGAGCCCTGCTTTGGATGGAGCAATGGGGTTTACGAAGTAAAGGTAAGAAAGGAGGGTATTCCAAGCATGAGGAACAGCCTCTGTAAAAGAGTGGAGGTGGGAGGTGGAACGTCAGGCATGAGAAACAGTAAGTAGGCTAGTTTTGCTAGAAGGAAGATTGCATAAAAAGGAGTAGCAGGAAATAAATCTGGAAAAATAAGTTGGAACCCAAGTATGAAGGGGGCTAAATGATCAAAGAATACACACGTATGTGTGTATATGTATGTGTATATGTGTATAGAAGTGTATGTAGATGTGCATATATACATATGTATGTGTGTATATATGTATGTAACATCTTCCTCACTCAATAATTTATTAAGCACTTGCTATGTGGCTGGCACTAAGCTAGATAATGAGTATACAAAGACAAAAATGAAATAGCCCCAGCCCACAAAGAGCTTGCTTTCTACCTAATGAAAACTGGACAAATGTAAGTCTAAATACAAAATAATTGCAAGATATATATGTATATATGGGGAGGGGAGAGAAGATGGGAGAATCTGGAAAATTCTTATGTAGAAGCTTGTGTTTAAATTGAGTTTTGAAGGAAGATGTGGTTTCTAGGAGGATAAGGGAAGGAGAGAGAACATTACAGGCATGTGCACACTGAGGGAGAGGAGATGTCAGAGGCAACAGGTAGCCACTGAAGCTTCTAGAGCACAAGAATAATGTGGTCGCACATCTCCATCTCCCTTAGCATGTAGCATAGTGCTTTGTGCTTGGGGGAAGTTGGAGGAGGATGGACTACTAAACAAATACATGTTGAATTAAATGTGTAGATTCTACCTCCATTAAATGTCAGACTGGGTTGTGAAAGATGATTCTTTGCTTAGGAGTTCTTAAATATATCATTAATTAATGCTAATGGCTAAAAGCTAAGACAGCAGGAATGAGCTATTCAATGTGCAGACTAGATTGAATACACCATAATGATTAAACTACATCAACTTTATAGCTATGCACAATTGCCTACACACAACAGAATGTATCCCATAGTCTTTAATGCTATAGTTTACACACACTATTAATAGCTTCACCATTTACAAACCACTTCAGATGCATTATTACCTTTTATTTTGCCAACAA